TGTCAAGAGTTCATTTTATTTATTACAATTTAATTTCTTACCTGTATTTTTTTAGTTTTGTTTGCATTTCTTTAACATTTGTTTAAGATATGTGTACATATATGGGCATACACACACAGCACACACACAGACACACACACACACATTAATAACGAAAGTATTTAGAAAGTATAGCCCAATTTTTTTTTCTATCACCGAATACTGAAGATTTAAACATGACATTTCAAGCCCTATTAAATGTGTAAAATACTGAAATAACAACTAATTTGGAGAATCATACACTAATCTTTTAAAAAAAGATAGGCGATGATGATTGCAAACTTCTAAATTTTCTAGTAGCAGACAAAAAATTGTAGCGAATATTCTTTACGTTTGTTTTTTGTATATGGATGCTTTGTGCAGTCAATTAAAAGCATATTAGCAGCCACGTTCAGAAAGTCCAAGGCTGTCAGAAAGTGAGAGAGAAGTATCTGATTCCGTTACACATAGCTACGAAGAAATGATTTGCTGTTACATTGACAGGAAAATAGGGAATCTGTTGTGTGGTAAGAGACATACACGAACTATTGTGACAGCGAATTTCAAACATGTTTGCACAAATAGTCCTGCAAGGGCAAACTAAAAGAAAAAAAAAAAATATTATAATATGTATATATGGAGACAAAGCTGGATTTATACCTGATGAGGTCCTAAACTATATAAAGCCTGAGGCCTCTACCGTTTTGAATTACACCAGTTAATCTTAAAAAAAAAAAAAAAAAAAAATAACCTAATATATAGAAAACGTAATTGTATCGTCGCTTTAATTAGTTTGTATCCCCCCCCCCCCCCCCACCCTTCCCATAAAAAACAATAAATTAAAAAAGTGTTTACACAATCACAGTAAGGAAATTATGTAATCCTTTAAAAAGCTTTTATGACTATGATGTTTTAGTTTTACACTGCCATCCCCTTGTGGGATGCAGTTTTTCGGTATTTGAAGCCCTACTCTGGCTCTTGCTAGGGGCTGCAGTATAGCTCGGCCATAACTATGGTCTAATGGCTGAAAGCGGTTTCTGGGACCACTCCACGGGTGATCCTCACCCACATGGTGGCTCATTGTGTCATCTGATGTTTGTCGTTTGTGTGATGTCCTGGTGGGGTAAAAGAAGATAGGGGAAAGAGATAGAAAACTTTGTTACAACAGTGGAGTCTATGGGGGAAAAAGAAATTTTGTTCGGGCTCCTGCAGACTGTGAGGGCCTAAGCTTTAGAATATTTATCTTATTCCTACATCCGGCATTGGTGAAGGCATTACGTTCTGAATGCCCTTCTTAATTATGCTTTGTGAATAGGAACATGTCTTCCCTTCGAAAAATTCAAATCAATGTCGGATATTCCAAGATCTAAACAAGTTCACATAATTACGCATTGTGCATACTAACCTGTTTTTCCTTAAAACTGATTGCGTTTCCTGTTTCATATCGATTTTTCCAAGAGCTAAACAACATCTCTGCCTCTCGAATGCTGAAATTTCCTTTCTTGACCTCCTCCTGGATCTCGATCAGCTCTGCTTGACTTCTCAGTCCTGTGGCTCCAGACGGTAACACTGACTCTGTGACCATCACAATTTAAAAAAAAAAAAATTCAATAGCGTATCAAAGTATAACATATGATTTAGGAAATATAGCGTTATGGGTTGGACTGTAAGTAAGTTATGATAAAAAACAAATATTCTGAAGACACCAACAAAAGATCAAGCAGATGTATCACTAGAGACACAGGTAATTAAAGTTACAGTTATTAAGGTTGTAGTTTTGATAGATACAAAGAAATAAATGATGGCACAAATTAGCAAGGCATCAGAAGCTTTAATCAACTTCGACAAAATATTTAACTCTAAATTTCAGTTTTAAAACCAAGTTACGTATTTTCAATTCTAATAATTGTAAATTTTTTTTTTTTTTTTTTTAGTTTTCACATAATGCTAAAGACATGGAACGAAAATTAAAAGCACTTGAAAACAAATATATAAAAAAAAAAAGATGACAATAAAACGGGATGAATTCAAAAGAAGTAAAAAAAAAAGAGAAAAGTATGAGCAGCCACACTTTTGATTGTGTATATAATGATAATGTCATCTGCTCATCAAATATACTATAATGATAATATACTGATGTACTTACTAATATTTGCATTTATAAACTCTCTAGGGGTAAGTAGCGAAGTAATAGTATCTGAGGATTGGAAAGAAAAACAAACATATTTTTGTTAATGATGATTACAGATAAATAACATCTGCAAACTAGGAGAAAAACGGCACAGAACTCGAATTTTCATACGTCTTTTTCTTTTTCTTATAGCACATGTCGTGTGACGAAAATATTTATGTCTATCCACAACCTTTTGTGTCGTATATTTTAAATCAGTTCTGACTCTTGTTTTTTGCCTTTCTTTTGTTTCACACACTTGTCCTTCAACACGTCTATATGTTTTTGATACTCATTTCTCATAGCATGTAGGCTTTGCTGAAATGACAACATAATCAGAATGGTATCAGAATAAGAGGTAGTGATACATCTACCGTTTAATAAACAACATTCATTCCAAGAGATTACAGAAAAAAACAATGTCCATATGTCTAGGAGTTCATTTTATTTATTTTATCTTTTATGACATGATATCAAACTGCCCATCACCCTCTCTTGGGATTTTCATCCCTTCAGTACTCTGTATCAGTTCTAATTGTTCTCATTCGTCAGTGAAAAGGGGGCGTTGAGTGGTCTCGAGGCATAGCGTCTGCCTGGAGTGCTAGGTGTTCAGGGTTCAAGCCTCGGTGAAGGCTAGGAATTTTTTTCGTGGACTTCTAATTATGCCCCCGGGTCTCTGAGTAGTCAAAATCAGACGCTCGTGTGTACTGTTGCGCACGTAAAAAATACTTCGGCAGTTAAAAATCAAAATGTATTCTAACGGCACTGCCTGGTCAAAATTAAGATTTTAAAATCTTCCTAAAGTAATTCAGGATCCGTAGCGGTGCTACGGAATAACAGCACTGCGCTGCGATATTTTGGACTCAGGCTTGAGTTAGAAGTAGAACGGAGCACTTATGGGTAAGTAAGTTTTGAAAAAACAAATACACTGAAGACACCAACAATAGATCAAGCATGATGTTGATGCGTTGTTCAAACCAATTGTCAGTAAAAACCACACCTAGACCGCTTCCATTTAACTTATCTTTTAAAGTGGCCACCTGTCCCAGATTCGCTTCCATATATCATGAGGAATAATATAGTTTTGAAATTTCTCTCTCTCACCTCAAGTGACAGTATATGTCAGGCAGACTACATTGAGTAAATTAATCAAATATGAAACAATTATAATTTAACTAGAAACAAAATATTCCTATTACACTTTACGTAAAGGGAGCCGCCGTGGCTGAGCGGCTAGGCGCTCGCCGCGGATCGAAATTTCGTGGTTTCGCTCCCTGGCGGAGCTAGACTTTAAAAAAAAATGACCTTGGCTTCCAGGTCAACTCAGCCTTGAGTGGGTACAGTCGGCAGTCCCGGGAAGTAAAGGCGGCCGGCATGATGCTGACCACATCCCCCATCTTGTACGTCTAAAGGCAAGGAAAATGGTCACTTACTTAACTTTACTTATACTGTCTTTAACCAGAAACAAAATATTTTTTTTACACTTTAAACAAATACAGTTTCAAAAATTAAAATCAAAAGTATGAAATTTCAGGTCTACATACATAACTGCACATAATTTAAAAAAAAAACCGAAACCTTACTGATACCATTTTTAGTGCTGGAAGAATCAAGAGTTTGAGTTAAAAGAAGAAGGGCTAAAACATCGCTGCTGGGACTGAGTTAAAGTTAAAGTTAAAGTCGAGAGGTCGACTTTATAGCATCGGGTTTTATCTCATATGGTTCAGCCTCTTTCCGCAGAACGATTAGCCCACTGCCGAGAGCATCGCATAGAGCACGGACTTCGTAGCTTCGGCGACGACCCCCTCATGGATCTCGGTGAAACTTGCACTCGTGAACTGAACGAAGCAGCCGTGAAACGAACCCACATCCTTTAGAGCGCGAATCAAACGGCTTGACTACTTTGCCACTAAAGTATTGCGATGCTAAAGCTGACTGTAATGTCTCGCATTCTTTTTTGCCTGCTGTTTTAGTTAGTATGATAGAAGATGAGTCTTCTATATGTTCGTCTTAAGCAAGTTTGTATTAACGAGATTTTACTGTAGTTGCAAAGAGACTGTAAATTTTTAAAAAGTTATTGAAATTTGTATATCTGTATATTAAAAGCTTTTCAATAAGTGTTTAAAATATAATGATATTTTACTTTGCGATAATAGCTATATGTATATAAGGTTATCAGTCACATTTGCAGCCTCACAGCAATTGAGTCATCCTATAAATGCTTTGTTCTCGTGCCAGTGAAAATCACATGAGAAGCCTTTCACTAACCCATGTGAAAATTATAAACAGCCTGCAGTCCTGGCAAATCCAAACAGCCTGCAAAAGCATCAAATTAACAAGGTAGCAGGTGTGTCAAAGCCAACAGTCCACCACAGAATTGCAGGTGATCGCTGATGAAATATGCAGTTTACACACATATCACCAAAAGTGTAGTCAAAGAGAATTCCTCATGAAATCCACAGGCTGACTGCCACTCCATGCACTCACCTGAGTAGCTGGTTAATAAAACCTATTTGTAGATGAACTGTTGTGTGTGTGTGTGTGTGTGTGTGTGTGTGTGTGTGTGTGTGTGTGATAGAAAGAGAGTGCGCATGTGTGAGAGAGAGAGAGAGAGAGAGAGAGGAGAGAGAGAAAGAAAGAGAAAGAGAGAGAGAGAGAGAGAGAGAGAGAGAGAGAGAGATAGAGAGCTGGTGCAATCCTTCATTACAATTCCCTATAGCTATCATGTTTTTTTTTTTTTTTTGTAGACAAACATCTAGTTTTCATTTTGCCAAACATTTGTGCTATATATCGAGGGTAGAGGGGGCAGACATCGATTCAAAGCGAACGATCAGTATGCTTTAAGCAAACTGAGTAAAGTCAGCAAGATGAACTTTTCAAAAAATGTACGCGTCGCATCGACACTTTACTCTCACAAGGTCATCCCTAGCATAAATCTTCTGTGAGTTGCGGATTTTTCATTGAGTGGGGAATAAGCTATCAAAATAACCGCCACGCATGGATGCTCATGTGAACTGATTTCCAACCACACACGTGTCTCAGTTTAAAAAAAAAAAGAAAAACTAAATTCACCACTTTAAGAAAACAGCATTATCAGCGGAATTGTAAATTATAGAATCTTAAGAACAAGGGAAATCTTAGGCCACATGCAAAATTCGTGTTGCTATGTATAAGAGTTTTCGAGAATTTTGTTAAAGTGTGAGAGCATGAGTTTTGAAACGCAATATAGCTGTCTTCAAGTTGTTTTACATTGTTTTAGATTCACTGTATAGGGTAGTACACTGCCTAATTTCTATAATATACAACATACTGGTAAATATGAATATACACCGTTTACTTAGATATCAGTATAAAGGATAATATAAGCCAGACAACGAAAACAGTGTTGTAAGTTAATATTTACCTGGTTCAACATAGTTACCATCGTCCTCTGAAATGAACAAATATTCATACTTGAATATACGATTTTCAGACAAATCAGGATGAACAAACGTACATATTCTAAACAATTCCTAGTTGAAAATAAATTCAGAAATATACATATTATATTATTTAATTTTTAATTTTATTTAATTTAGGAGCGGCCTAAAATAAGAAATAAATATATCAATTGTAGCAAAGATGGCCTCCGGTCCTCAAGGCTCGAGGGTTGGGCGCAGTGTTGACAGCTCTGCCCTGTAGAAAATCTACAACGTTACTGAAACTTCAAGAGGAAATGAGTGCTCTAAACGTTCGGCGGTCTTGGGACAGAGTCCCTCTGTCAGCATGAACAACATGGGTGAAAGCCGAAAGGAAGTCCATGTTGGTAGCGGCATCTTTGACATGGAAAACTGCACTGAAGATTGCACAGGACAGGAAAGCATGGAAATTCCTCTCTGAAGCCTCATGTGCCACTAGGCATAAAGAGAACTGATGATGATGATGATTGCAGCATATAATTATCAGGAGAACAAAAAAAAAATGTAATATACACGTTTCAAACAAACCTATTACGTAATTAATTTGTTATGTCAGAGTCAACATAACGCTTAGGTTTATTTAAAGAACTCAGACGAATTTGATGGTGGAGCACACAATTTTAAAAACAAAACAAAGTCATACAGTAAGTCAACCAGCCCTCCGTTATAGTCGATTATCAAAGCTGAAGGAATACCATTCCTTGTCCTTTGTTTGATGTTACAACTCCGGAGTCTGTACACAGCTCTCATTCCAATGGTTTATTAAATGAATGACAGACCACTTGGACATGCACACACAAGCGCGCTCACAGAGACAAAAAAGACACATAGAAACACAGAGATATATACACATGCATACATGCACGTGATTTCAACAGTATTTCAGTTATTAGCTCAGTCTGTAGACCGACGCTTACCTACCGGCTTAAAGGTCTACAATTTGAATTAGCTCACCAAAAAAATTACCAATAGCTGCCTTTATTACCACTTTTGCGATGTAGGCAGGGGTTGGGTCCTTTGAAGCTGAGGATTTACGGCCGCATCCTATCTAGTGCTCTCGCCACGACTGTGCAGATAAGGATTTTATTTTGCCCCCAACAGAACAATGCCTAGACTTACAGAGGATTCGAATCCGGGTCTTCGGCTTGAGAGCCCAGCGTTCCAACCGTTCGACCAGCCAATCTTCGTTTGCATTAGCACTGGGACAAATGTTTTAAACTGATCTTCGCTCCTTGGTTGACCGAGCCTATAATGAATGCTGAATGTTGAATAAGCAATCGACATCACAACCCTAGGACATGCCATAAGCGCACCGTCCTCATCCTCTGCAGCAAGCATATAGTTCCAATTCCGATGGCAGTAACACTTGATTGTTTATACGTCTTGTCTTTCTCTTTAGTGTTGTCCCTCCTCGCAGCTTTCTCCTCAGACCGTGATGATCTGTTTGTGCCTCTGCACTGTTCACTCGTCCCCAGTGAACCCCTGTAACATTTATTCCCCCATCTTAAAATGGGTACTTAGAGATGTACTGGAAAGTAAAGGCGGTCATCAGGATGTTGATCACATCCTCCAGAGAGTGCCGACTGGACGAAAGAAATATGTGTCCAGCAATATCATGACAAGAGACCGTTATGTTTACTTTATTTACTATTTCAGTTGTAACAGACTTAGTATACCGAGTTTTACCGATATATAACATTACAATCTTACCTATTACAGAAGGTAATCGAGGAGATAGCGTTAAAGGTGCTGGATTTCTTGGAGGCAGTGTTGGACTAGATAATTTCCCAGATAGGTTGACCGACACATCTTCATATATTGGTGAACTCTCTGTGATAAAGAACAAAGCTTTGACTAAATAAACAAATACATTATTTAAAAAACCAATATTGCACATAAATTAGCTAGACATTAGCCATATCTAAATATAACGTATCGGTATGCTGTGAAATATAAATGATATTTTTTTAATGAATGTATGAAGTTTATTACCTGAGGGGTCTTGGAAAAACTGGACATAATATTCACAGGCATCGGCTATATTTTTTGTTTCCTGTGAAAGAAAGAAGTGTATTGATTGCAGAATATGTTAAATACTATTTCTCGGGTTATGCATTACAGTCATAATTTAAAAAGGTTAAAAAAAAAAAAAAAAAAAAAAAGACGATTGTACTTTCTTTTGTAAGAAATACAAAATTAAATATATATATATATATATATATATATATATATATATATATATATATATATATATATATATATATATATATATATATATATAAAAGAGCAACATGGGAATAAAAAAATACAGTTAAGGAACTGAAAAAAATATATTTGGGGCACTTTTTATTTCATTATCTTCAATAAATCAAAAAATGTAAATGAACACACAAATAAACAACCCCTATGCATATAATATGAATCATCATCATAATCATGTAGCAGTTTCTTTGCAGAACGTCGCTCTCATCACGGTCTGCATGAAAGAAACTCGGGCTCTCGCCAATTCCCCCCCCCCCCCCTCCTTCATGTACTTTCATACTCAAGGAGTCACTTATATCCTGTGCCCATCTTCGTGTTGATCGGCCCTTGCCTCTCCTTCCTGGTACCATGCCTTCTGCTATATTGTTTTCCAATCCGTCGTGGCGCTTGATATGACCAAAATATTTCAGCTTCTGAGACAGGATGCTGTTTATTAGCCAATCTTCCTTGATGTTCAGATCTTTCAAGATGTCGGTATTTCTCCTCTTTTTTGTCCAAGATATTCTGAGAATCTTTCTATAGCAAGCATTTCAGTTCAAACGCCCCTATTCTCTTTCCTAAGGCCTGTGAAATAGTCCACGACTCACATCCGTATGTTGCTACAGGGAAGATGTATGCTCTCAAAATTCTAATTTTGATCTCCTTGCTGTTGCTTAACCATATACTTTTAAGGCTTTTTAATAATAAGAAAAAGCATGCTAAAAATCATGCAAAATTGATAAGTTATGCAAAGCATTGTGTATGTAACCTAAAGATCTGAGTAATGCTACAAGTAAGTTCACTCACGCCTTCTAATGGGAAGCAAAGAGTAGTAACATTGCACCCTACCAGGCTTGTCGTAAGAGGCGACTAAGGGTAGGATTGGGATTAGGGTTGACTACCTCATCCTGTAAAAAAAAAGAGCCACAAAACTAGCCAGCCATGGAAAAACCAAAAAGACAAACAAGAAAAACCCAGTCAACCAAGATGAGGAAAGGCCATTAGGCGTGGCATGGTACAAAAACAGTTTGAGAAACCCTGGTCTAGCTTATGTCCAAAGAGGCTTCCAGAATGTTAATGTTGTACACGATAATAAGAGTGATGCACCTAAGCGAACTTAAACAGCAAACTAAGTGATAAAACGTGAGCATCATAAGCAACGGAAATAAATCAATGCTCAGAGGAAATATTTCATAAGTCACGATTGCCCTTCGTCGAGCCTCAAAAAAGACATTGGGTGAGGGTGGGGGGGGGGTGGGGGGGGGGGGGGGTTGGTGTCGTGATGGTGGTACACATTTTGACGCAGGAGAGCTGGGTGGAAGGAGGCCTGATTAAGTCTTTAAAAATGATAAGGAAGAGAAAGTCGAGGGTAAGACAGCAAGAGGCAGATAACGATATAAGTGAGAGGACAATAACAAGAGATGGACAATCAGCAGTCTGAGAGAGTGTACAATAAAGACGAGAGACAGACTGTGTTTAAAATCTATTGCAGCCAAACTTCATTATAGAGACTGCACCTGATGATGAATATTAATGACGGTGGCGAGAATAATAATAATAATAATAATGATAATAAAGTGCTGAATAGCAAATAGATATATCTGAAAAATATAATATGTCTAAATATAAACTTTGAAAAGAGCTTCTGCAGATGCATTCAAATGGAGGCGGTTCAGACCTCTAGTATTTGGATAAAGATTGAGAGGGAAAAGGGGGCGAGGGCAGGGGGGAGACTGGGACACTCTCGTTTTATTTGGGGGGTGGGGATGATTAGGGAGAGTTGAGGTTCCCTAATTTTTATCGGAGCTGTGGGTAGTTGGGAGCTCAAGGTGCCCAAACCCCTAGGTTCGGGCGCCCCTGTCTTCATCACTTTACTCAGTGTAAACACATCTTTTAAAATTATAAAAGATGTGCCAGGGCTAATCAAATAATCGGGCAACTATCTCCCCCGTTGACACACAAACACATACCCCGGAGTACTAAAGTGAATATTATCAGAACTATTTTTTGGCCGACACTATGTCATCGGTGCCAAACGTGGACACCTACATCCTCTAATGAACGTAAAACTGTGACAACAGAGATGAAATGCCTTAGAAGAATTACAGGAGTTTTGAGGAAAGACAAAATACGAAATCAGACGAATGCTAGGAATAAAGCCAGTCTTACAGATCATCAAAAAACAATAAATGAAGTGGTTTGGACACCTAAAAAGAATGCCCTGGTACTATCTACCACAGCAAGCCACACTGAAACAGTACAACGGGTTTAGAACGAGCGGAAGACCTCGGAAAATATGGAGTGATGGCATTAAGAACAGCCTTACAGAAAAAAACATCAATCTTATTAGTGCTCTTGACAGAGCTCGTCAACGAATGTTACATCCACCCCTACACTTAGCTGAGGTACAGGTGGCAGAGAAGAATGAGAGGAGCAGAAGAAACACATCTTTCATCCCATAAAACATAAGCCATTGCAAGTACAATTCTTTAAGTTTTGCTGTACATTTATTTACCCGTGTTCTCTGAAATGTCATAGCAAACATGCACATATGTTGGCAAAGAGAAATATCACCTCACCTGTATATGTCCAGACCAAAGCTGAAAATTATTTTCAATAAAATCCGTTAATGTCTATAAGTAAGTAACCGAAAAAAAAGTCATGCGCCTAGCTGACGCCACTAGTGTAACTAGTATACGATGCTAAATCTACATTTTATTGGCATACCGGTACTCGATAGGTAATGTGTACTCTAAATCAAGGATTAAAAACTTGTTTACCGGCCTGAAAGTCGGGGTTCGAATCGGCATCAAGGCGAAATGTTGTAATAAAGTTAAAACTACCACAATTATGTACTGTAAATAGTATATACCATGATATTGATGGCGGCCTGTGGGATGTTGACTAAACATCCTGTCAAGTGCAGATTCTCTTCTGTTTCTTTCTTTTATCCCCCAATCGAGCATAGGCCCTCAACCAACTCACGCCAAGTCGTTCTATTTTTCGCGTTTGCATGCAGTTCACCCCATGTCCTACCCATCTTTTTAATTTCACTCACTAGCTACCTTCTCCGTGTGTTTTTTGCCTGCCTTTATCTCTATTTCCCTGTGGGTTTCAGTGCAGAGACATTCTAGTCATATAATTCTCAGGTTTTCTCAGAGTGTGTCCTTTTCAACACCAGCGTTTTTTTCTTCACCTCTTGGTCCACTGAAAATTGTTTATTTCTCTACAAAATTCAATATTAGTGTAAATTCAGTAGTCAAGACAGACACAAATTAAAAAAAAAAAAGTAAAGATCCCTTTTCACGCCTTAGGCGCATCGGGTATATGGGAAGAGCGTCCCATATTTTTACAGACCAATCGGCACTGGATGGTAATGTGGTCAGCATTACGCCGTCCGCCTTTACTTTCCCAAGACAGCCGTCTTGGTACTTATTTTAGAATAGGTCGACCCGCAACGCCACATAAAAAAGTAAAAAAAGAGTGAAGTTCCCGTTTCACGCCTTTCGGCGCATCGGGCATATGGGCAGAGCGTCCCATATTTTTACAGACCATCAGCACTCTGTGGGTAATGTGGTCAGCATTACGCCGGCTGTCTTTACTTTCCCAGGACAGCCCATCCTGGTACCCATTTTAGGCTGGGTCGACCTGCGACGTCCCATACCACGATAAAAATCCACGCAGCCTGCAGTGGGTTTCGATCGCGGTATGCTGGCTTACGAGTCGGACTCGCAACGCCTTAGCCACGGACGCCGCCAACGCCCCATACCATGATAAAAATCCACGCAGTCAGCAGCGGGTTTAGATCGTGGTACGAGTCGGACTCGCAACGCCTAAGCCACGGGCGCCGCAGACAGACAATATCAAAACAAATCTAATAAAACAGTCTGTTTTGTCATGAATCCAGCTATACATTTAGAGCCAATAGATATACATTTAGAGCCAATAGATATAAAAATGAAGCCCAAACACAGACTCACCATGAAGTCGGCGATAAAGTCTGCAAGCTCGGTATAGCCATTCTTATTTGCTAAATCAAACACATCTTCATCATCCCAATTAAGAATACTGCATAGATCATTTGCTCCGGGAGCCGACAGTAATGCAGAACATAACTCCTTCAGTCCATTTGCTGCTGCCCAGTGAAGTAAAGTCGGGTATAGGCAGTTGCGGTTTCCTGTAGCGAATGATGATGACATAAGATATCTTGAAAAATACACCTTAACTCTTTTAGAACCAGGGGATCATATCCCATGCCATGTACAGCAGTACTGACAATAACAAAATATATCAGTTGTGTACTACTTAAAGATCGCTTAAGGTCCTGAGAGGGGGAAAAAGAGGGGGGGGGGGGGATCTGTTGTTTTTCTATTTTTCTTTAAAAAAGTACTTTATAAAAATATATTTGCATTTTTTGCAACATATGGACAAAAGATATAAATGTTATGCAATCTTTTGTTTATCACATGTACACTTAACTCACACACAAAACTTTTGTTTATAATTTGAATTTCATAAAATCCCAAATATAAACCACGTTTATTATTATAATTTTATATAATCCAAATTATGCCTATACAGTAACACTGGTGAGGCTATACACGTTAGAAACAAGTAGTTGCTGTACTGGATTAAAAATCCATAACTATAAACGAAGCACACATAAAAGCAACCCTACTGTCAACTGGGATTTTTAAAATTATGTAACAGACGATTTTAATAGCTTTTTAAGTGTGCACAACCTACCAACCGCAAATTAAAAAAAAAAAAAAGTCATGAATGAAAGAAAAAGATTGCCAAGCCGATTTTGTTCACAACAGTAGCTTCAAACTTCAGCCAGCCATGAACAAGTCAAAGAAAAGAATAAAAAGGAACCCAGTCAACCAAGACTAATAGAGTCTTCTAGAATATCGATATCTGTAATTCCACTAAACTCGGTTGCATTTCATAACCATAATGCCCACTGGGAATATGATTGTTCCCAGATATTTGAATTTATTGACTTGGTGAAGTCTTTTTTCTTTCAACTGAGGTATCACAACGTGGAGTTTTTTTTTCCCTCTTTTAATTGAGGTATCACAACGTGGACTTATCTTCTTCTTTGATATAACTATTACTTCCGTTTTCTTAATAGACCTATATTTTTTTGACCAATAGGCACACGATGAGCGATGTGGTTAACGTCACACCTGCTGCCTTTACTTCCCATGACTTCACCTCGTACCCATTTAAGGCTGGGTCGATCCTGGAGCCAAAGTCATAATTTAAAAAAAAATAGTCCGGTTCCGTCGGCTCCAGCATCAGACCTTCTCATCCACAGGCGAATGTCTAGCCCCTATCCCACTGCGGGACACTAATATAGCCGTGTTGTATGGTAGAACAGCCTATATTATATTTGCCCCTGTTTGATTCTTAACGTTGAGGTGTTCTTCCTACGGACAGCAATCCTGGAAGCGAACAACCAACATTTACCATTGTAGAAGATGCGATGCAGAGAAAGTCGATAAGAATCATGATAGTTGTCTTTCCTCCTTTCGTTTAGGAAAATCTTTAGGATATGATCCATTCTTGCACAATCGCAAATGATCATAGTGACTCAGCTAAGGAGGAATATGCTGAATCCTATTTGACATCCAAATAGGATGAGGTTAGGATGATGATGATGATGAAAATTATGATGGTGATGATGATGATGTTCATGATGATGATGTTGGTGATGTTGGTTATGATGATGACGATCATAATGCAGTACCTGTGTTGGCGTTACTAATGGTGTCAGTGAAAACCATCATTGCTCGACTGTTAGCGGACAGGCTCGTTGCAAACGTCTCAGCCAGTTTCTTGTCTAAGTCTTCTTTCTTGGAGACTCCGTAACTCTGGCACATAAGTTCCATGCTGGGGGATATAAGCAAATATTTCGGTTCTTTATTAATATCTTACCACAGATGACATCACAGGACAGTCCAATATTTTAGAGGGTGGTAAGATTGGGTTTTCCGGATTTTTGATGCTTTTAACGACCCCGAAACATCTAGAACTGGCCCTAACCCCAACCCACCTACGTACCACGAGAGAGTGCAGCCTAGATCCCACGACTGCATGCAGCCTAGATCCCACGACTGCATGCAGTTTATCTACCCCCCCCCCCCCCCCCCCCCACCTGAAATATTAGACTGTCCCGTGACCTGTGGATTTCCCTTGTTTGGGGTAGGATAATAATAAATCACCGATATTTCGGTGAGTAGAAGTTGAGGGTGACAGAAAGAAAGAAACAGACGACCACATGCAGATAGTTTCTCTTCATCTCACTGTCATACACTCGATGCGAGCCTATTCACGCGCGCACACATATATGGTTTAGACAACGGATCAACACCATGGCACATGGGGTAAACCATAAGTTCTCGGTTCTACTTCTGAGTCCACAGAGTCTCAGCGCAGTGCACGAAACCTGTAGCACCGGCAAAGTGCCTGAAATACTTTTGGATAGATTTCTTCTTCTTCTTCTTCTTCGATCCTTTTGTCAGAAAACTTATATCAGGAGGCCGGTAGCCTTTATGAAAGCTATCGTGCAATATATATCCTCTCGTGTACCATACAGTTTTGTCTTCAGTGTGGTTGGAACAGGCCAGATTGCGTCTCTGTTGTCAGCATACAATTGACAGTGTTGGAGCACATGCTCAGCATTTTCTGGTGCCACGCTGCAGGGACACATCTCCGTATTTCCTACACCGAAACAATTTTGACCGCGCAACGCCGTTAGGCTACTCTTTTCAATTTCCAACTGCCAAGGGATTTTTTCTACGTGTGCAACAGCACACACGGGCGTCCGATCTTACAACCGAGAGAACAGGGAACATTACTAGAGGTAAACGTGGGGGGGAAAAAAAAAAAACAGCCCTTAGCGGGGCCTAATCTGAGGACCTCCAGCACTCGAGGCGGACGCCATGCTTCAAGACCACGCAGATCCCAAACACGCACATATATGCATGGCGAAGCACGTCGAGACCGAGATAGGAAACATTATAACCATGGGAACAATTAGTTGAAGTACCTTGGAATGGCGGCTGCATCGAAGGAATGAGCACGCATGGGAATGCTCAATGTTCAGTGACGTTGATTGTGAAACATAAAATATTTGTGTGTGTACATAACAGTGATAAAAAAGACCTTTTTCCAAGCCTTCGGGCGTATATGGCATATAGGGCTAGACATTTATTTTACACACCACTCGGCACTTAGTGAGTGACGTGGTCGGCATCAAACCGGTCGCTTTTACTTACCAGGACTCTACCCGGTACCCGCTCAAGGCTGGTCGACCTGGGAGCCCAGGTCATTTGTGGAAAAAGTCAGGTATCGCCAGGATCTTGCGATCGGCAGGCGAGCGTCTAGCCGCTACACTACAGGAGCTCCCTCTGTGTTTGTGTGTGTGTGTGTGTGTGTGCGTGTATGTGCGCGCGCGTGTGTTTGTCTACACACAGGGTTTCTATGAAAGTTTTTTTTTAATCACTAACGCCATTACAAGCATAACTCCGGCTGTGCTTGTATCTGTTCTTTCGCAGTGCAGAACACGTACTGAAATATGTTCTAAGAACAATGATAGGCATGCAGAGTATATTATATAAAATCAAATTGTTTTGATTAAAAATAATTTTATTTTTCATATTTATGGAAACCTCTGGAACACACTGTGTGGTGTGTGTGTGTGTGGTAGGTAAGTGTGGGGTAAGTGTGGTGCATGTGCGTGCATGTGTGTGTGTGTAAACGGGTTTTTCTTAACAACGACAATGTTGATTACCTTGTGAAATGGGGCGTTTTAATGGCTCGAAGGTTTATAGGTCGCAGTTTCGTATTGTTGACTTCAACTTGTATTTTTATCTTTGGGCTTGTCATTTCTGTTCAAGAAAAAACACAGTTACCTATGAAAAAAAAAAATTGTGAAAACTTCCAGTTGCAGTACTCAAATCAAATAAGTTAAGTGATACATCCCAATCCTTGAATCATGTTCTTTAGGTTTAGGTTCAGACGACTGATCAACATCATGGCATAAGGGTAGCAACCCATAATTGCTTTGTTCTACTTTTGATTCAACCCTCAGTCTGAATAATCTCAGCGTAGTGCGCGAACCCCGTAGCACCGGTGAAGATCCTGAGATACTTTGTGTAGATTTTAAACTCCAGCTCTGTTTGGCTACTCTTTTTAATTTTGAACTGCCTAGGGATTTTTTATACGTGCAATACACACGGGCGTCCGATCCTACTACCCAGAGAATAGGGGAAATTATTATAAGTCCACGTGAAAAGATCTCAGCCTTCACCGGGGCTTGAACCCGGCACCTCTAGCATGCCATAAGACCACGCACCCCCGCCCCCTTTAAATCATGATGTTGACATGATAAGGTGAAGTACTTTTTTAACGCCAGTTCTGGGCATATGATGATACACTCATATATTTTTTTAAAACCAATTGACACTCTGATGGTGATGTGGTAAACATCATACCAACCGCCTTTACTTCCCATGAAACTGTCTATTATCTATTTTCGGCTAGGTCGACCTGGAAGATAAGGCTTTAAAAAAAAACTGACTCCATGAGAAACGAACGAACGAATGAACGAACAAACTCTATTTTCAAAGTGCTACAAATTGGGCACGCAGGCCCGTCTGACATTCGACCCTTCTAAGCACTCATTTTTCAGAGTACCAATTCCTATCATCAATAATGCATGTTATAGATATAATAAAGAAATGTACATTATAGAATAATGTATACACACAATATGTGTACACAATCTTACACATTCACACACACACACACACACACACACACACACACGTGTACATACTATTACATTCTCAAACATTCACATTCATATACAGACATACGTAATACATACATACACGCATCTACATAAAAACACAAACATAAAACACACACACACACATATATACGTAGACATACGTGCACACAAACATTCCATACATACACACCTACACATGCATGCATGAATAGACACACATAAAATCACATATACAGACACCCACATATGTCCACAACCTCACATATACACTCACATGCATACATACACCCACATACATGCATACGTGCATACATACACATATACACATCTATACACACACTCACATCTTTAGGAGTCAGAACCAGAACCTTCGGACTGGCAAGTAAGCATCTAACCTCTGCACCACAGTGCTTTCCTTTTTATTTAAGCAAAGGTAGAATGAAGAACAAGACACAAGATGGTTTGGCTACCTGGCAAGAATGCCTTGGTACCAGCTGAAACAGAGAGCCACGCTAAAGAAATAAAATGAACACAGAGCAAGGGGAAGACCACACAGAAGATGGCGCCACATTATCAGGGGCAGCCTAACGAAAATAAACACCAGCTTGTACAATGCATCAGAAAAAGCGTACAAACGATCCTTACATCTCCCCCCAACACATCGCTGAGGTAAATGGGGGCAGAGAAGTAGAAGAAGAAGACGGTAGAGTATTCATTTCCACGTCTTAAGAAGTAATTGGCATAAAGTGATCGCCCACACTTGTGTAAGTCAAATGGATATTAATGTGTTATGCGATCAATATAAAAACCATCCACCTTTACTTATCATGAAATTGTTTTTTTTTTTTTTTTTCTCAATTTAAGTTGGATGTTTGAAGTTTGAGGTTTGAACGACGGATCAATATCATGGCTAACGGGTAGTACTCCGTTCTTCTTCTAACTCAAGTCTGAGTCCGAAGAAGCATAGCAAGTGCACAGGCTCTCTAGCATCTGCCAGGATCCTGAAATACTTTTAGGTAGATTTTTAACTCCAAATTTTCCCTAGTCAGCGCCGCTAGGCGACTCCTTTCCATTTTCACCTGCCAAGGGATTTTTTTTTTACGTTCGCAACAATGCACACGGGCGTCCGATCTCACTACCAAGTCCATGTCCACGTGAAAAAATCCCAGCCCTTACCGGGAATCGAACCTGAAACTTCTAGCACTCGAGGCGTACACCATGCCTCGAGACCATGCAGCCCCATAGTTTAAGTTGGATAAAAAACGCAAGGCATAATCACATACTAATTGTCAGACTCCGTGGGGAAAGGAACATACGATCATCGAGCCTATTTCCCAGAATGATTGCTATAGTGATATAAATGTTTATTGTATGCGTGCTTTGAATACCATGTTTTTAAAATACGTTAGCATGAATCAAATTTCAAATTCCAGTACGACTGTATTCCCAGCATAAAAAGGGTTAGAAATGATAATGCTCACAAAAAGTAGATTCTATTTACAAAAATCACTCAGTGGGTAATGTGGTCAAAATCACGCTGTGGTTGTTAAGTCAGATATTTGAAAAAGAGGTTATAAGAAGGCAAATATTAATGAATTATGTATTATGCAATGTAAACAGCTTATGAATAAATAGATGAATAAATAAATAAATTAATTAATTCATTCATTCATAAGCTGTTTACAAGACATGATTATTAATTTCTGGACTAAGTTAAGTATCTATACTATCTTTAAGCATTAAATGCTCACACACACACACACACACACACACACACACACACACACACAAAACCCACATGCACAAAAATAAACTAACATAATATAAATACCTGGAGCTTTAAATGTAACACAGTAGGGGTTAACTATTTCGCAATTAATTTTTGTACCCCCTGCGTACACTGTTACTGAGCCTTTTGTTTTCTCTTTCGTGAAGATCAGGGCAATTGTATCTCCAGCCTGAAATATAACAACAACAATAAAACAGTTTTTATACTTTTTGGATTTATATACTTGACATGTGTCACAGGGACCCAAAAGGAAAGGGAATGATAGTAACACTAACATAAAACTTGTTTTTATGACGTAATACTATTACTGTGTTGTATCCCAGTGCCGTGATTTTCTGTATTTTTCCTTCATTTTAGAGGTTTTAGTTCCCTGTGTGGGTTCTAGGACTATTATGGGGAAGGAAGAATAGACCCACAACCCCCCCCCCCCCCACCCCTAAAGTCATGTCGGTAGAGTCGAATTTAAGGTTTCCTTTGAAGTCAGAGTCCATCAGCTGAGAGGCAAAGAACCTACAGTCTGCATGCAAATAAGCCAGCTCTGTAAAATAGATGTGGACACAAAACTAAAGTTCTGGAACGAGAAATAGGTCTCGAGATGGACAAACAAGCACAACTTTCAGCGAGAGTTTACAGCCGGTGAACGCAACGAACAAGAAGTAGTAGCTTATGTTATGAATTTACGCATCTTCTTGCAGGGCTCAGGTACACCACCTGTCTACGCTCCTCTTGGTCTTCCTGTCGATGTTCTATCAGATGTCCTACGGCAACAGACCCCATATACACGTTGATCCGACTGCATTACTACTAAATGGCTACATAACTTCATTTTCTTTTTGGCTAAATATATCAGTCATGGCCTTGTTTCTTTATAATGCAGATACGTTTTCCCGTCTAGTGTTGTTAGTGACGTTCTGAAGACAGCACATTTCACACATAAGTAAAAAGTAAAGTTCCCTTTTCACACCTTTCGGCGCATCGGGCATATGGACAGAGCGTCCCATATTTTTACAGACCATCAGCACTCTGTGGGTAATGTGGTCAGCATTACGCCGGCTGTCTTTACTTTCCCAGGACAGCCCATCCTGGTACCCATTTTAGGCTGGGTCGACCTGCGACGTCCCCATACCACGACAAAAATCCATGCAGCCTGCAGTGGGTTTCGACCGCGGTATGCTGGCTTACGAGTCGGACTCGCACATTTCACACATGGTTAGACTGGCCCCCCGGTATCGCCGGGGGAATAAACTGACATCTGGAAACAGATGTCGACTGTGGACCGGGTTGATCACCCCTAACACAGTATAATACCTCCGATTTCGTACGACCACAATGAAATATGCCCCCAGGGCCCTCCGAAAAGGGGGGGGGGGAGAATGAAGGGCCCAATCCAACTGATACCTTCGGTGACGACCTTGCTAGCCCCCGGACTGAGATACTCGCCCAACGTCCGGGCTGGCTCTGTACATGTGGGAAAAGCTTCACGGGGTTGCATGGTCTGAGAACGCATGCCGGAAGAATGAAATGTGAGGGTGCTCCACGCAGTAAACGCCGTCGCAAAACTACTACTCCTGTGGTAGTTTCTGAGTCGTTAGGGAACGACGGGCAGGGTGAACCCCACTCGCCCGGAGAGGCCCATGACGTCGACTGCGGAGGAGCACCTTTGATGATTTTTGAAGAAGTGCGTTCCAGAATCAGGTTTCCACCTGCGCGAGAAGGTGGTGTGGTGTAAGTTGGAGGTTACATTATGTGAGATACTTAAACAAACTCTAAACAAGAAGCCGCTAGGCAACAAGCTTACAAAGTTTGGTGATGTAATATATGAACACTGCTCCCGCGAGTTCGGGACAGTAGTAAAGGCATAGCCGGGTGCCAAGCAGAATACTAGCAGGAGGCAGAGGGACATCCTGAAGTGTCGGGCAGACAAGAATGCCCTCAGAAAACGGGTTAAAGCCGCTACAGGCAGCGAACGGGAGGGGCTGTACGAAGTGTGGGTGCATTTAAAGAACAAACACAGTGCCCTCTGTCGCGCCGAGCGTTTCTGTAACAACAGACGTAGAACCAAAAGGGAGCGAGAGAAATTCTTTAGGGACCCGTATCAGTTTGCCCGAGGTCTATTCGAGCAACTGAAGTCTGGGACTCTGGTTGTCAGTCAGGAAGAACTAGAGCTACATCTACGCAAGATGTACTCTGACAAAAAGAGGAGAGAGCCTCTCGATGACAATCCAGAGATCCTTAGCGGTCTTAAACAGCCTTCGGTGCCGAAGGTACCATTTAAAATGGTACCTCCCCTTTGGTCTGAGGTTGAGGACGTTGTGAAAAAGGCCAGCGGCAAGTCTGCCCCAGGTCCGAACGGTGTTCCGTACGTTCTTTACAAGCGTTGCCCGAAAATCCTGAAAATGCTTCACGTCTTGTTGAGACAAGCGTGGATCCGCAATCACATATGTCCAGAGTGGTCAAAGGCAAATGGGGTCTACATTCCCAAAAAGCAGGACTCGAAGAGTCTTTCCCAATTCAGGCCCATCTCGCTGTTGAATGTCGAGGGTAAGATATTCTTCTCAGTCATGGCTCGCCGGCTCACACAGTATCTGATGACTAACAAGTACATAGATACGAGTGTTCAGAAGGGTGGTATTCCAGGCGTTCCTGGGTGCCTTGAACACGCGACCATGATTTGGGAGGCTATCCAGAGAGCCAAGCATGAGAGAACTGATTTGCACGTTATATGGTTGGACTTAGCCAACGCCTACGGGGCAGTCCCCCATAGGCTACTGTGGCGAGCCCTTCACATGTTTCACGTACCGACACAGATCAGTCAAATGATCGAGCAATATTTCTCCAAGTTCGCTTTGCGCTTCTCTACCTCGACGTTTACCACGAGGTGGACTGAGTTGCAGATTGGGATAGCTATGGGCTGTACGATCTCACCTATACTGTTTGTCATGGCAATGCAGATCATGTTAGACGGGGCGGCCGGCTACGGACTGGGCCTTCAAATAGGGGATCACTGGTTGCCGCCACTACGCGCATTTATGGATGACACGACTATAATAACGGGCAGCGAGGAGTCTGCCCGCACGCTCCTGAATAGATTGGACGCGGTGGTCCAATGGAGCGGTATGCAGTTCAAACCGCAGAAATCGAGGAGTCTGTCAATCCATAAGGGCAAGGTGTCGGCGACCAGTTTTACGGTGGCAAGGAACAAGATCCCTACGGTTCTGGAGGAACCGGTGAAGAGCCTCGGTCGCGTTTACGATACGAAGTTATCTGATAGAGCGGAGGTCCGGCGAATACACGAGTCACTGGCTACAGGCCTGCTCGCGATTGAGCGATGCAGGCTGATCGGAAAATTCAAGGTATGGTGTCTCCAATTCATGTTGATTCCAAAGCTACTATGGCCACTGCTAGACTACGAGGTGACGATGACTGCAGTGGAAACCATGGAAAAGAAAATCAACACAACCTTAAGAAAGTGGATTGGGGCACCGCCTTGTCTGACCGACGTGGCTCTGTATTGTAAGCAGGCTAAGCTGGTACTTCCGTTCAAATCAATAACCGAAGAGTTTAAAGTCGGCAAGGTAAGGCTCGCCATGCTTTTGCGCGAGTCTTCAGACCCAAATGTCACCGCTGTCCAGCCCGCTCTAAAGACTGGAACCAAGTGGAGAGTCCTCGATGCGATAGAATCTGCTCAGAACGCATTAAAATTGAAGGAGATTATGGGTTACACACAAACCGACCGTCGAGGCCTAGGGCACGGGAAAGTCAATTGGTGGTCAAAGGCCTCAGCCAAAGAACGCCGAGACATGGTGATTCAAACGGTGAGGGACAACGAAAACGAGGTTCGGGTCCAGAAAGCAGCCCAGCAGTCGCAGCAGGGCCATTGGGTCAGCCTGGAGAGCGCATTGCCGAGAATACTCACATGGGGTGAGATCTGGCGGATGACCCCGCTGCGACTGAGCTTCATCGTTCGTTCGGCGTACGTTGTATTACCGTCCGGTGTTAACATGGTTAAATGGTCTGCGACCAACAATCCGACTTGCCCGTTGTGCAAATCGAAGCAAACTCTCGAGCACGTCCTGTCCGCGTGCAGGAAAGCTCTAGGTCAAGGCTGATATACCTGGCGCCACAGCAAGGTGCTAAAAGAGTTAGCAGCCGTTGTCGACCAGGCTAGAATGAGGGCTAACGCCAGAGCCAGTTCTAGTATCGCCCCCATTCGTTTCCTCAAAGCTGGGCAGGTTCCAATTGGTAAGGTCAACAAAAACGCATTCGCTCCATCTGTGCTAGACTCTGCGAGGGACTGGTTACTGGCTGTTGATCTGCCAGGCCATGAACGGTATCCCGAGTTGATCCGTAAAACCGGCCTGCGACCGGACATCGTTCTCCATTCTGCGCAAAAACGGCAACTCATCCTGATTGAGTTGACGGTCCCGTTTGAGTCGCGTATGGAGGAGAATCATTTGTACAAGCTCGAGAAATACAGTGATTTAGCAGCCGGTTTGAGGAGAAACGAGGCTTACACAGTACGGGTATTTGCCGTCGAAGTGGGAGCGAGAGGCCTCGTTTCCACTTCGCTCTACAATGTGGTGAAAGAACTAGGATTGCGCGGTAATGAACGGAAACGAGCACTCAAAAAACTGGGAGAGGCAGCCGAAAGGGCCTCTAGCTGGCTTTGGACGCAGCGCAACAACGTAGGGGACGGGCCTCGGTGAGCTGGTCCGGGTGTCTAGTGGAAAAGAGTTTCTCATCCCTTTGAAAGTCCATCGTGTCCGAATTGTCTGCCAGTGTTCCTCTGTCAACTGTTAATAAAAGTCCAACATGTGTCCGGTAAACCAAAGTAAGCTTGTCGCTCGGTCGTCCAGGCACGCTGACTGCTCTAATTAAGCTGCCGTGGCGGCTTCTTATCTCACAGTACCTCCTTCGAAACCACCAAGTCGTCTTGTCTCTGGCCGAAAGTATAACACCATCCGGTAATTCCGTGCAGCGGGGAACCAGCCCTGAGCGTCATGAACTCAGGTGGGCCCACCTCCGAATACGTCTAGGAATCGTGGGCCGAAACGTGTGTCGACGAGGATAATTTCTACTGACGACTGGTAGATCCCCGCTGTACTTGCTCCCTGTGAGTTTATTCCTATTTCCGTGATCTACCCATTGTCCCTGTATGACACTGGCAGCATACATGGGATAAAGGTCCAATGAATTACTGATTTCCTAGAAGGGAGACGTTTGGTTGTCTGAGCAGTAAGGCAGTGAGTGTGATTAGGTCACAGAATTCGCCACTTGGAACCTAGCTTTCTTTTTTAGTCTCTGTTGGGTGTCATTCTCTATAGATATGCCCTGCGGATTCGTGTTTCTGTACGTGTTTGATCGTAGTACCGTTAATATTAACATTCATGTTATTATGTTTTCTATATATTCTCATTTCATTAGTTGTTATAGTGCTTATTCACATGTCATATTATGTGCAGTTATAATACAAGGTGTCAATATGGTCTGTAGGAACCTATTTCTAAAACTGCAAAGGGGTGATTAATGAGAGTTTAGATTTGCAATTAAGAGGATATGGGGTTTTATTTGTATATATATATATATATATATATATATTATATATATATATATATATAAATATATATATATATATATATATATATATATATATATAATGTAATTTATTATAATTAATTAATTATAATTAATAACTTTATTATATTGTATTTTGTGGGGGCTTTTAAAGAAATTATTGATGTTTAAGTACAGCTAAGCGATATTCATCTTGTTTAATTCCTCTTTGACTCCGTCCTTCTGTATTTACGTTTGGTGTTCCTTTTTGTTTGGGATTCTGCTTTTCTAATATAATTTACATGCCCTGAAGGTTGATTGGGTTTCATTCATTTAAATTATATGTTGTTAAATGGAATCGGTGATTAGTGTTGTTCCCGTAAACTTCATTTAGTTTTTAATCCTCTCATTGTCTTGCTAGCAGCATTGGTAATGGGGCATCTTCTCTCCCATACTGTGATTTTATTCTATGACCTTTTTAGGACTGTCAATGTCTGACACTGGTAGCATAGTGTAGGTACAGCCCCCCCCCCCCCTTTCCGTCCCACCACCAATAACCACACATTTGTTGATATATTATATATATATATATATATATATATATATATATATATATATATATTGTTTGTTTTAGTATCCAGAAGCCAAGAGTTGTTAACCCTTAGGCTCGGTATTATGGATATCGCAACCTTTCGGCCTTGATTCCATTGTAAATACCGTAAATCTGGGAGAAAATGTGGCTTTCCTGCCTACCCCCGGGATTGAACCCGGACCACAAGGAGTACGTCACCCGGTCTCCGCGAAATCCGGTTTAGCCAATTCCGCTAGAGAGCCGGGCATATATATATATATATATATATATATATATATATATATATATATATATATATATATATATATATATATATATATATATATATATATATATATATATTAGCTTGCATAGACACTAATGTAAATTTCATAATGGGTGATACATGATATTTTATGCTTTTCGTCTTTTTGATTCTGATTTCGATTTCATTGCGAAAAAAATGGTGCCGTCTTTACAAATAAGTTTGTCAGCTATAAAATTGAGCGTCTATTGCAATCCCTAGATGAACCTGGATTGACGAAGTTACTGACAGTCAAACTACAAACCATCTGTTAGGCTGCAACGCTTAATGACACAAACCAAATATTGGCAAGAGAAGAATACCGCTTTGTTTAAAAATAAAACATGTCAATACCTCATTCTCTTCCGTGGTGTGACTCTCGTATCACTGTGAAAACCTCGTAACGGTCATTTGTTAAACCATCAACCCAAGACGTCTAACCCGGATAAGTCAAAGACTGTGAAACCTCTAAGCCATATAGTCTTGTTCAACCTACCATCCTTTTCCTGAACGGATGTTTCCCAGCTACTTAACTTTTTAATCTGGTTCGGTGGTTTCCGACTAATTCTAATGCTGCTTTAAAGCGCTCTTCTTTTTATTGACATTACCTGTCCCTAAACATTCTTTATAAACTGTTTCGGTACCAACCAACCTGTAATTACGCCAGCTTTTTCTATACCCATGGGTTCTAGTCTAAAATATCCAACTGTGAGTCCAAAAATAATTTTAATTCAACATTACGGGGCTATAACTGCTCCAGCATGCTGAGAGAAGAAACACAATCTAGAATACAATCTGGGAATAAATTATACTATGCCCTTCAACATTTGCCAAAGTCACAAAAATCAAAATATATAAAACATTGAAAAGACCAGTTGTTTTATATAGCTCTGAAACTTGGAGCACAACTAAAAGAGATGAAGCCTTATTACCGGTTTTCCAAAACCGAGTCTTACGACGAACGGGGCTTTAGGAGCAAAACTAAGATTTCGTTTATAATCATAAAATGGAAAGATTAGAAAGCAGTGTACACAGTCTTTAGAATTGCATAATACCACAATATAAAAAAAAAAATAAAAATAAAAAGGTATTGTGATGCTATAAAAACGTACTTCCTGCACATATCGTGGAACCATCTCAACTTTTTCCACTGTCTCTCTGCTTGTATGAGTTGTGCGATCACTGTAGGTTCTGGCTGGGATTCTCTTTGTTAAGTTTTCCTTGTTTCTGTCTGTCAACTCTAAAATCATGGCGATGCAATCCTTAATATTGGCACCTGAGACGTTGATCTAAATAAAATATATGTTAACACGCATTACCATAACCATCTTTTACATTGTAAAAGTAATCAAAATGTATCATTTTAATTTTTTACTGTGATCATGATTGTAAAAGCACTTTGCGATTGCAGTAATCATGAAATCCTGTGCTCTAACTGGGGGAAGCACGGCGTCCGTGGCTTAGGCGTTGCGAGTCCGACTCGTAATTCCAACGTACCGCGATCGAAACCCACTGCTGGTTGCCTGGATTGTTATCGTGGCATATGGCGTGGCAAGTCGACCCAGCCTAAAATATGTATCAGGAAGTATGTCCTTGGGAAGTAAAGACGGCCGGCGTACTGCTGACCACATTACCCACCTAGTGTCGATTGGTTTGTAAAAATATGGGTGCTTTTCCCATTTGCCCGATGCGCCTAAGGCGTGAAAGTGGATCTTTTCTTTTTACTTCTCTTAATAAGGAAAGACATTTCTTTACACGAATACACGGGCTGAGATTAATTTGTCTTACTATAACATAACATAACACTGTAGTCTGGAAAGATGGTGAGATGCCTACAATAATTAACACCCCTTCCCCCCCCCCCCAAACACACACATACCACCAATTGTTACAATTAACAGTAATATTAAATAACGAAAAATAATTGTGAAACATTAAAATATAATAAAGAATAGGAACAAAACCAAATATACATTTCAGTTATAACCCAGACGTGTTGATCAAAATATCGTTATTTTTTTTTTTTAATAACTACTACGTTATCTCGATAAAACACAGAAAACCTAAATACTGTGGTCCCTTGAAACGTCACGACAGTTTAGAGAGAACAATAATGGAGGGGTATTTGCCTGTGAAGAGAGGAAGAGAAAGGCCAAAAAGAAGATGGGTGTAGGATTTGGCAGATGATCTCCAGACGGGTGTATCGGACGCGGGACATCTTTCTTGCGATCGAGAAGTTTTCCGGAGGATTGTTATGGGCGCAAGGTTCTGCAGAGGACATACTACTGATTGACTGACTACTTTAACTCACCTCTACTGTCTTCCACTCTTTGGCCGTGGCGTAGTTATACTGGTTTGTTACTTCAGACAACTCACTGGGTGTCACTTCTAGCAAGGCAGCAACGATAGTAGTGACATCTTTATCTCGAGCTTTCAGCATGGGGACTAACCAGTCAGGGTTTCTCTCGAGGTAGTCCAGCATGTGGCATGTCGTCAGCAACATCACGACGTATGACTCCGCAACTGCTGCCTGAATTTCTGAGAAACAGTCAAATGAAGCACTTGGTCTGAGAACTGTGAGAGTTATCATGCGTCTTTACACTTCGATGAGCGGTTTCCGTGGCTTAGGCGTTGTGAGTCTGCTCGTAATCCCAACGTACCGCGATCGAAACTCACTGCTGGCTGCGTGGATTTTTATCATGGAATGGGGTGTCGCAGTTCGACCCAGCCTAAAATGGGTACCAGGATGGATGTCTCGTGGAAGTAAAGACGGCCGGCGTAATGCTGACCACCTTACCCGCCTAGTGCCGATGGTCTGTAAAAATAGAGGCCCTCTTCCCATATACCCGATACGCCTAATGGCGTGATAAGGGATCTTTACTTACGTTAATTACACTTCGATAAATATCTCAAAAATCAAAATAAAAACTCCTGTATGGAGCAATAAGAATTTGTGCACCTAACCGTAGATGTCTTATATCCTTATAATTTTTTGTACTGGTGCTGCCGTTTGCTAAAAGCGGCCAGTTTCTTTGATCTTTTTTTCACTAACAATCTGGAACCCCTAAAACAAAGAATATACAGTCATTGATAGAGGCGTGAAGACTGGAAATCTTTTCAAATGTGCAGCGATGTGTGGCGATTATTTTGAAAGTATATCCTGTATACAATGAACAATCGTGTTCGTATAATTCACCGGAGGCTAATGCTGGAGATGATCAATTGAAAGTGAAACGCCAAGGAAATGCCTGCAATTTGTTGTTTTGAAAAGTTTCTGTTAATTAGTTAACTGTAAAAACGCTGATTGTTTGCTTTGAGTCGGTGTCCTGTGGGGTACAACTACCTACCTACCTACTAAATGGTTACTGAGGTACAAAGTTTTAAAGTTGGGGACGACTTCTGTAACTGGTGATAGTTGCTTAGCTTGCGTTAATGTCATACTGCGTTTCTGTAGTGTCTCTTTTACTGCCTCCACTCATATCTTTCTCAGTTGGTTTTTGTTCCATTATGACTAGACGACCAAACTAGTAGATTGTTGTTATTTTGTGAAATCATTTACTGGTGCTGTGCCTACCACTGTTCCTAAAAATAACTGTACAATGTATAATTTGTATTCATGATTTTTTTTTTTAAAGAAAAATCTGAGTACTAACACATGACCTCTAGCTTTTAATAGCCCAACCAGGTCAATGGAAATTCCCGTTATTGTGAAAGTCTGAGAGGCCGGTTTGTGCTCAGTAGGTTTATTGACTACATATTTACACATATTAAACTACGGTTTTTGTTTCGTAATAAATATTAATGAATAGTCTGCAGGAGGCTGTGACTAACAACAAATACTCACCAGGGGGGTTTTCATAATCTAAGGAAGTAACGTTCAGTGTCACGACCTTCACATGAAGTTTATCAGCCTTGAACTCATCCACCACGTAGTTACACCAGTTCGTATCTTCCTCAGTATGGAAAACTGTCACTGTTCGAAACTCAGCCGCAGTCATAGTTACGGAGTTGTCACTAATTAGTGCACATATTTCTACTTATAATTACTATTTTGACTTGGTCTGATTAATTAATGGGCATACTTATACTTATATTTACCTAACTGTAACATGTCCATAAAAAAATGGGCATATGTCTACTCATATTCGGCGAAATGTAACAATTCGACTAATTAATGTGAATATTTCTGCTACTTATCGATTCACACAATTTGAATAATTAATGTGAACATTTCTGCTTTGAAAAAAGGGTGTCCATTAGGAAGTTTCAGGTAGCTCATCACAGTTTTAACTATTATTCTGAGTTGAATGACATCTTGTTGTTTTCACTTATACACGCTGACGCTCAAAGCCGGGAACAATGTCATCCACGTCATTATCTGAAAATAGATATAGAAGTGGATTACCAAAAAGGATACCACATTTAAAAATCAAAAGATAAAAGTGATAAGATTATATGCTGTGATCGTTGCTTTTTGTTTTACTCCTTTTTCTTCTTGTCCATCTTCCCCGCCTTCTGCTTCTCATACTCCGGCTTCTCATCCTCCTGCTTCTCTTCCTCCAGCCTTTTCATTTTCTCCTTCTTTTCCTTCTCCTCCTTATCTTCTTCTCTTCCTTCTTCTTCTCACGTTTCTTCTTCTCCTTCTTCTTCTCCTCCTTCTCCTTCTTCTTTATCTTCTTCTTTTCGTTTTTCTCCTCCTCTTTCCTTCTTCTTCTCCTCCTTTCCTCTGAACAACGGGTTTACTTGTTAGAAGACTGGTGTATAAGCAGGAAGAGAAATTAGCTGAAATGTTTTTATCTCTGGGCTATGAGGTGTAGACTGGCAAGAAACGGGGACGTGGTTCCGCAATGGTTAGATCCTCGACTGCTGGCCAAAAGCTCTTGGGATCGGATCCTTCTTCTTTTCCTCCTTCTTCTTATCTACCTTCATCTCCTCCCCATTCTACTCATTGTATTCTTCATTTTCTCCTCCTTCTTCTTTTTATCACTCCCCTCCCTCTTTCCTCATCCTTTTCCTCCTCCTCCCCTTCCTCCTTCTTCTCCTCCTCCTTTATTTCCTTTATCTTCTGTTTATTCTCTTTTTCTTTTCGTCCCTTTCCTCCTCCTGTTTCTCCTCCTTTCACTCCCTCTGCTTCTTCTTTTTTCTTCTTCTTCTTCTTCTTCTTCTTCTTCTTCTTCTTCTTCTTCTTCTTCTTCTTCTTCTTCTTCTTCTTCTTCTTCTTCTTCTTCTTTTCCTCCACCTCCTCCTCCTTGTTCTTCTTGTTCTTCTTCTTCTTGTTCTTGTTCTTGTTCTTGTTCTTCTTGTTCTTCTTCTTCTTCTTCTTCTTCTTCTTCTTCTTCTTCTTCTTCTTCTTCTTCTTCTTCTTCTTCTTCTTCTTCTTCTTCTTCTTCTTCTCCTTTTTTTCTTCTGCTGCTGCTGTTGTTGCTTCTTCCTCTGCTTAGGGTTCACTGGTAGCAACCTCCAGGGGAAAGTTTCGTCGTTCGTTCAATTCCGGACTTTGCTCTTGTTTCATTTATGTGGGCGCAACAATTTTATAGAAACATCCCTAATTAGTCGCCTACTACCATCAACTTAGAAGGGATGTAGTGTGTTTATTCTTTTAATCCACCACCCCCCCACCCACACCCCCACACACACATGCATGTGCGCGTGCAAATACACACGACGAGGACCCAGAACCAGCTTAACACAAACAAGCGTGAGATTTCGCTGGTTACGTAAGAATCCGGTTTAGAAGCTGGAAGACGATTTCGAAACCAAATCAAACAAAGCGTGTTCGTTTACACTACTTAGCGAGTTTGTCATTGTTATCACAGGATGAAAAAAGGAAACTAGACAGGACATAGAACAAGATGACAAGTTCCTAAACGGGGGGGGGGGGGGGGGGGAGGGAGGGGAGGGGGGTAAATAGATTAAACCTGGAAAAGTCAACAAGTAAGTCCTGGTTTGGTCAAACGTTCAGTAAAACATTTAGGTCGGCGTCTGTGGCTTAAGCTTTACCAACACGCTTGGTAATTACAGGGCCATGGCTCGATCCCTGGCTGCGGGCGATTTGGCAGCAGACCACCTGGCGAGGGTTTCTACAATCGTATCGAGAGCCGACCGTTCAAGAAGCTGTATTTTCGTTGTTATTACTACTATTTACATTTGTCTGCTATTCAGACTAAGATCCTTGTTTTGATTTTCTGTTGAAATATTTCACAAAGATAAAATAGATCACTAATATAGAATATTAATGTCTGCTGGAAACAATGTTAAACACCATGATTAATGTTTACTAACAATCCACCTATTTCGTTTAGACAAGTCTACCTAGGTACTACAATATGAACAGAATGTTTTAAACATGCAAAAACAGATAAAAACAAGGAAGGAAATATAAAAGGAGATCTCGATATGGGTCAGTGCCTATCTGAGCCGAGTATATTATCGCTTCTTTTTGGGTGCATGTAGATCAACTAGTGTTCAGACATGTAATTTCTTTGAACTGCTATATAAAAACACGACTCTGTCTATTCATACTTTAATTTGATTATTCGTAGTATCATTATCCGTTGTTGCAACACTAGGATTATAATGAAATTATTTACCGTAAACTTTAAGAACTAACACATTCTTGGTGATTTGTATTTAAAACGGATGTTATTTACTAATTATGTGCGACCATCGACAACTCGCTTGTACTTCTAAAGCAACAGGATCTGAAGCATATGTATGGGGGAAGACTCGTTTTGACAACCGTGAACCAAGGTAACATAAACATGAAGGACTAATACGCCAGAAAGACACAAGACAAGGAAGATAATCTAAAAGGAGACCTCGGTAGAGGGTCAATACCTATTTGAACCGACTGAATTATTGATGTTTTTAGGTGTATATAGGTCAGTGTTTCCTAAAGTGGGTGCTACTGCCCTCTTCTCTTCCACCCTCCCCCTCCCAATTCCCCCGGGGACGCTGGGAGATTTGAGGGGGTGGCGGCCTCGGTCAAATTTGATGAAGGGGGCGCTGGGACGCTTCACAAGAGCAGCAACTGCCTTTGGTGCAATTGGGAAGCACTGAATGAAAGTAAGACATCGGGAGAGTTAGAGAGAGCAAGATGGAGAGAGAGAGAGAGAGAGAGAGAGAGAGATAAAGAGAGAGAGAAAGAGAGAGAGAGAGAGAGAGAGAGAGAGAGAGAGAGAGAGAGAGAGAGAGAGAGAGAGAGAGAGAGAGATTTTGAGAAAGTAGAGAATTCAAGGTTAGGATCTTCAGCATCTTCAGCGCACAAAACCTAGGCATTATTACAGAGGCCAGCGGTTTCCCATGCAGCAAGATCCCTCATTGTTTACCTAGATAGAAAGGTAGAAAACACCAGTACATTTGGAACAATGCGTTCTGCAGAAGCCGTCGAATCAAAACAGTAATATTCTGTGTGTCCGCCTTTCGGACCTTTCCTGATTTACCAGCTGCCAACTAGATTGCATTTCTTCGTCACAGCAAAAGTTAGATTGGTCCACTAACTGTTGCACTTCTTCGTCAGAAATCTTTTGCACAATGTGGAATAATAGGCTTCGTTACGCTTCCAACGTCTTCGTCTGTGGCTTAAGCGTTGCGAACGCGCTTCGCAATGCACAGCTGCAGACTTTTTGTCTTGCGTTGATTTAGAAATTGGCACCAAGAGCCGACTGCCCATAAGCAATGGCAAACTACTGGACGTAAATTTGCCTAGAAAAAACACAACAGCCAAAAAATGCTGGAATTGGTTCTGCGCAACTAGCTAACTTTTCCAACATTCTGTGACAACAGACACAATACTACGAGCTATTGTTATACGGCAGATCAGTCATGTCAGTCTAAAACAAACAAATTTAATTGGAACAGTATATCTTAGCTCATCCACACAAAGAATAATATTCCTAAAGGTTGAAAATCAACCAGTATCAGCTTCTTTTTTTCTTTTGAAAAAAAAAAAAAAGGGTGGGTGGTTGGGGGAGGGTGGCGGGGGCCGGTGTTACACAAGACACTAGGCTCATCGGAAAGCTAAACTCAGAAGAGGTTCAAATCAAATCTAAAGGTATACAAAGACTCGCTGCAGTTAAAACAAAAACTGGGTGGAACATACCATGAAGCTAGTACAAACGTTGGCGCAGTACAATGGAGCGGGTAGGCCTTCTATTTAAGACGCATCGATTTCAATAGTTTCAAACTGCAATACTGGACGTTTACTGCGGCCGTTCTTGTGACTTTCAGACAGTGGAAGAGACTGGGGCCTTACCAAGTAATATTTCCATACCAGCAGATACACTGCGGCCGGCCTCCATTGTGGAGACGCCACAATTCAAAATGAAATGAAAGCGGGATTGATCATGGCTGCGTGAAGAGTATTGAATATAACAAAGTGCCATAGGAGTTTCCTTGTTTTCTATCAAGATTATAAATTATTTTGTGATTGTGTCAATGCTCTGGTTACCCTGAAAACCGAACGAACGTATATAGACTCATTCAGTACACAGCGAGCCTATAGGCATAATTAGCGTATTTCCCCCAAGATGATCCCATGCCTAAGACGCTTCTTGATTTTGCATATTATTAATAAGTCCGTGTTATACATGGGGAAATACTGTAATAATAATATACAAACGATAAGTGGGACATGGCGATGCGTTACCTACTAGAGTTCAGAGAGAGAACAAGATGTTTTGGCGACGCACCTACCCATTAGTCAACGCCGACGCAAAACACTAAATGTAAAGTAGGGCTAATAAATCAGAGGACAGTAGTTTGACAATAGAGGCCTCTTGCAGGCTCAGTAAGAGAATATTATTCAACATATATGCCCAGCTGACAACACAGAACCCGGTGAAGAATGGGTAAATGTCAACATAGTGCTGTGCGCCTGTTGCAGTTTGCCTCAGTCAGATTGTATAGACACAGTAGTTGTCGAGGCAGAAGTTTGCTTCTTTAAGTTTTATAATTTTACTGGGGTGCTACCATAATGTTCTCATATGTACCAGTGGAG